ATAATGAACAGGTATGGAAAATAACTGAGCATAAAGAAGCCGCTGTGCCTGCCCTGTACTGCCCTACAAAGGAAAACTCCAGTAACTGCATATTTTGTCAGCATTGAGTTAAGACCAAAAAACCTTCATGACACAAAGGTTTATTTGGTGACAAAGTTTTATGACTCAACTCAGTCTTGTTTTTGAGAAATCTTGACATTTGCAGTAACTACAAATTCTTCAGTGATTCAAAGGAAAAGTGCAGTATCTGCAGCTCAGAATGTTCTGACTGACAATTTCCAGTGATACTGCACTTTTCTGTTGTTTTTCTGGAGAAATTCTCACAACTTCCAGATACTACACCATGTTTTGTTCTCTTATTCTGAAATGGGACAAAGTACAAACTTGAAACTTTCACAATTTCTTAATCAGACCATAAAATAAAATACTTAATGTTTTTGACGGTAAAAGATCCTCATGCTTTCTCAGACCACATCATTTTCTGTGTACAATCAGAGGTCAAAGGTAAAATCGGTGGTGACAGTTGTGGTTGATAAATATTACCTCATCATACAGTAACACATGAACACACTATCATCACCTCTGACACTCACAAGAGGGACTACATCGAAACTTTAAAGTCAACGGTCAGCACAGTTACTGTGTTTTTCCTTTATAGGGCAGTGTAGAGGGAGCTAGGACTCCCTCTACACTGCCCTAGGGAAGTGTGTAAAGTCCCTCAGTTGTCCAGGTAGAATCCATGGCAAAAGGCGAAATTCAATTTATCAACTGGACAAAAGTTTATTTGGTCGAATATGTTTCACAGCCCATCCAAGCTGCTTCTTCAGTTCTGAACTGAAAAATTGAATTTCTCCTTTTGCCACTGGTTAGGGAAAGCAATTTGAATGGTAAAATAATGAAAACATAAATATGTTTGAACTTTAAAATTATGGAATACTTGCTGGATTACCACCTAATGACATCATGCAGTGGGACCATGGAAGTATAATAAAATCTGGAAAGTGAACCCAAGATGGCATTGTATTGTTTCGCTCACTGACGCACGCCCTAAAAATAATTTTCTCCTTCACATTATTTCCTCAACATAGCCACCTGTGTAACGCCAGAGACATCCATTATTATCCATTTGCACAAGTTCATGTTGTGCAATGAATGATAATCTCTAAAAAATCTCATCTTTGTGAAAGTTATCAATGTCCTGTCAGCTGAACATGGGCAATTTGAATTTCCAAAAAAAGTCATTGTGCTTCTATGGGAGAATTCTTTCTGCGCCCAAGCTCCCGGGAGCTGTAGTGCCAATGGAGCGGGCACTAGTCGGTCTTGCCAAAGTGGGAATGTCTTATCCAGTTCTTATTATAGCTCCATTAGTGGGACAGTGTGTTTAAAGTTGTAGACATGAAGACAGCCTAAAATAATGCACAAACATACTTATAAACACAACCCAATGAATGTTATCAATGAAGAAATGACAAGAGCTAAAAAGGTAATTCTGTGTAGGCCAAAATAACTACAACTTCTTGGGAAATGTTGTTACTTTAAAAATCACTGCCAATCAATCATATCCTTGTTGAAAATTTGTGTTATTCTAAGTTACAAGTTACAGTTTAGTGACTTTACTGTTGCTATGGGAAAATGACCTTAAGCCTTTTAAAAGAGAAATGGTTTGTTGTCATTGACTTATTATTTGGGGAATTTGAGAATTATTTTAGTAAACTGAGTTTCTTTGCTTTCACACTGAGAAAGGAGGCCCAGGCAGAAAAAACATGAATGTTTTTCACCCTACAGGGAAATACAATGTTTAGCTTGTAAGACTAAACGTATTTAACAAAGTCCCATAGAGAGTCTCGTGGTACAAAAGACAGACCAAGTTTCACAGTAAATTAGATCAGGCTCAAATGAAGAAGTCCTTCTTTCATTACTAAAGTACTTTGATTCATTTTACACAAAAGAGGAAGTTCATCTTGTCATATTCATCAGCTCTTTTGTACTTCCTCAAACTATTAAACTAATTGAGTTACAGTGAGGTCAAGTAAAAGTCTTTTATCTATAGAACCAAATAGCATTTAGGAAATTAAAATAGAAAAATTGGTCATTGATTTAGAATAACAAAAATATGTTTTAGGGTTGGGCCGTATCCAAATTTTTATACCTTTTAAACCTTCTCAGGATTTTACCGGGGTATACTGTATTACCATATTACCAAAATGTTTTAGTACGAATTTGGTAAGCTACGAAGCCGCACCACTATACGGTCTATTTGTATGACCTGCAGACTTATAATCTCTGAAAAGTTTCACATGAACCATTTCCAACGTGATACACAGAAAGAACATACGTATTCCACTGAGCTGTGTCCTTTCGTCCGACAGAAGTTGAACCGCATCAGCGCACAAGAAAAAAGCTGTTTTTATCAGTGCTTTATAGTTTATGCAAATGAGCCATGTGGCTTTAAGTTTCATTTCTGTAAAACATAAAGAAATGTGCGCCTGAAGCCAAAATGCTGCCAAATTGCAGAAGTACTAGTATTTTTTCTGGGACCAACTGTGGCTGGACTTTCCATCCTGTCTTGGGGCCTTGTCATCGACATTGAGCTACTCTCACCTGGCAAAGCTTTTTAATGTTTTTCGGGGTCCTGATGCTTTGAGGTCCCTGGCACCGCCACTGGAAACCGAAACATATGTGCCTGCTTTGTACACTGCACATGGCGTCCTGGTGTTCCCGACCAGGACAAAAAGCGGAATTTCTTGTACAAGTCATTGTTAAATGCACATTTGCACTTTGGCATGTTGCAGGCTGACCAAATGTTTGTGTCTGCTCGCTCCTTCTGAGTGTACAGGGAGCTGCGAGAGATGCCCAGTTTAATGGCCCAATGAAAGATCATGAAAACCTGTACATTTGCATCACTTTATAAAAAAACCCAGACAGGCCAGGACAGGATATGAAAAACAGATATGTCCAGGGAAAAACGGACGTTTGGTCACCCTATATTAGGTCCTTATGTGCTGCAGATTTTTTTTATGACGGTAATGAAACTGATACTGTTGCTACTTTTTGATACTGCGGGGTACGTGATACTGTATCACTGCCCAACCCTAATATGTGTGGTAATTCTCAGTTTTTATGTGGTATTATTTCTCTAATAAGATATTTACATTAGTGCTGTCATGCGATTAAAAAAATTGAGAGATTAATTAATTATGATCTGTAATTAATTAATCTAATTAATCTCATTTTAATCTCACCTAAAAATTGCTGAGAAAAGCCTTCAATTTGAGGTATTTTCATTTAAATTCATTATTACATTATTGTGGCAGATCAAAAGACTAATATAGATTTTAAAAAGTGACTTTATAAAGTCATTTATTGTTTAACAAATCTCTCCAAATTGTCTGTTGAGCCCAAGTCTCCATGAATAAGAAACTGTTTGCTGTAAAGTAGCAAAGACGAGGAAATCTGAACATAATAACTTTTGTCTACTTAAAGACAATAAAAAGTCCAGTCTTTCCTTAACCAGATTAAAAATATTATTGATAGAGAAATGCTTTATATATGAGATCACTGGTTTTAGTCCTGGTTTAGACCTGCTTTAGTCCTAGTTTAGTCCTGGAATGGATTAATCCTGTTTTAGTCCGGGTGTTAGTTCTGGTTTAGTCCTGGTTTAGACCTGGTTTAGACCTGGTTTTAGTTCTGGTTTTAGTTCTGGTTTAGTCCTGGTTTATTCCTGGTTTAGACCTGGTTTTAGTTCTGGTTTTAGTTCTGGTTTTAGTTCTGGTTTAGTCCTGGTTTATTCCTGGTTTAGACCTGGTTTTAGACCTGGTTTTAGTTCTGGTTTTAGTTCTGGTTTAGTCCTGGTTTAGTCCTGGTTTAGACCTGGTTTAGACCTGGTTTTAGTTCTGGTTTAGTCCTGGTTTAGTCCTGGTTTAGTCCTGGACTGGATTAGTCCTGGTTTTAGTCTTGGTGTTAGTTCTGGTTTAGAGGCGCACAGGAGGAAGCGCGGTTTACGCCGCGTACGCGAGAAAACACGATCCACACGCGGCTCACGGGAGCACGTCGGTGTCCGCGCAGTGTCTACGGAAGGAAACGTGGTCCGCGCGTTCTCAGGTTAATGACGATGATGAAGGTGTGTGTTTGTGTTTGTGTGTGTTTGTGTGTGTTTGTGTGCGTGTCCCCTCATGTGGCAGGTCACTATAGGACAGTAGTGCAGACATCATGAGTCTATGCAGGTTGTTTTCACCAGTGACATTTAAGTTGTAGGCGATTTTATATTTGTTATTTTCTTTTATATTTCACGTCGGGAGAATAATTTCCAAGACACGAATGTGTTTTTACCTGTGCACTGCTGCCTCTGTTCTACTGGCTCTTTGACCTCGTCCATTGTGCGACAGACGTTTCCATCGCTCTTACTGCCGCGTTTTGTGTGGGTTTCCGGCAATGAGTGGAATTACCGAAATTAAAAAAATTATAAATGTGTTTTGTGTGTGTGTGTGTGTGTGTGTTGTCCCAACAACACATAAAAACAGGTTTTATAATAAAGCAACTCGCATACAGAAACAGTAAAGTTAGAGATTAAAAATGAGATTAACGCGATTAAAAAACATAACGCGCTAAATATGACTGTAATTAATTAATCGCAATTAACGCGATAATTTGACACCCCTAATTTACATACTCATAATATTAATTCAGATAAAACCATCTTCATTTATAATTTTCATGCAAAGTAAGAAAGATTTGCACATACTAATGATAGACTTTTTTTCTAATCTTGCTGTTGCTTCCACTATTATTACTATTGTTTGTTCACTATTTAGTAGTGTCTAACCTTATCTACTTGTCTTTATGAGGAACATTTTTATTTATTGATGAACCCTGCCTTCTCTGTCCACAAAAGTACCATAAGAACCATAGCCAATGAACAGACAACTCCTGCTGGATGTACTATTGCTCTGCCTTATATTTAAACATATACTATATCCTAAAGTTTGTTTTGTTTGTCTCAGGTTGTGCGAAAACCGGAGGGGTGCGTTTTTCAGAGGAACACCACCATCCTCACCACCATGCAGCCCATGCCTCTTCACACGTGCACTTCGATGAAAAACTACACGACTCAGTTGTCATGGTGATGCCAGAGGATGATGGGAACTTCATGGTCAAGGTAGGTCCTAAATTTGACTTGATATATGTGATACGGTGAAATGTTTTTCTTGTTAGATTGACATGTTTTTCTTGTTAGATTCCTAGATTATTTAGGGCTCAAGAGGTAAATAAAAGGTTAGTTTTCTTCTGAGCATTCACACTTCTGTGATTGGCTTAATTTGCTCGTCTATTATTCAGAGCAAACTACAAGCTGACAAGTTTGGAGGAGTGGGCGGGGAAAAATAGACGACATGTGATGTGTTTGTGATGCAGCATTATTTCGTTTCAGTTCAATGTGCATAGTCGCCATTTTGAGGACTATTTAAAAGATAGAAGATTTTTGTTTTGAATTGTAAATTGGGGTGCTGATCTTTTATCACAGAACACAGAAGTAATGAATATCAGTAAAATGTTCTTTCCAATTATGTAAACAAATATTATTGGTCTCAAAACTAAATTTATCGTTTCATATTTGAATGTATGACCCGCTTGCTGTAGTTTGAAAGCTTTTTGGATATTTTTGATCAACTCTGTCAAGTTTAAGTCTGTGCTGTATTTTCAGACACTTTTTCACCCTTGGATCTACTTAACTTGAAACTTATTAACTACAGTTCAGCAGTGATACCCCTGGTTACACATTACATCTGAAGTACCTACTACGTCAAGAATTTACAATTAAAATTAAAAGTCTTAATTGAGTTAGAAGTGCAGCAGTCTGGCAGTCGTGTTTGTGCATAATAGCGTATCGTTAAATTGTTTTATAATGCAATCTTTAGAGAGAAAACAACTGCGATCCTAGACTAAGTTAATTTGCAAAGAAACTTCTCTTCCCAGACAATATCAAATGTGTCATCTTAAATTACATACAGTAGTTTATTACATATAGACTTCTCTCTAGCTGCAGAAATAATCCAGTATCATCAACCTATAGACAGATTATTTGTTTATCACAGCAGATGTACGTGCAACCTGAGTGCAGAAAGTGCCCAACGTTAGTGAGTGGGATACATCTTAATGGCCCATATGCGTTAAATGCAGGTGAGTGCGTAAAAATGATGAAGAAAAGTCTCAAACTACAGTAGCCAGACATCCACTCAAACCTGATCGATACACCTAGGCCTACACCCAGGAGAGCTTGAAATCTGCTGAAATCTTACAAGACACTGACAAGATGCCAGACAGGGCAGCGGCTCTGGGTAAAGCGGTGCAATTTGCACAGTTATCTGTATAATCAATCAAGTTTTTGTGGATTTTTAATTGTACTTTGTTGGGTAAAAATTATCATGAGTTGTCAGTCACAGTGGTGTAGTGTATGTGCTCTCTCCTGACTCTCAGTTAAGTGTGCACCAGTCTGTAGTCACAAACATACCTTGAGTTATGTTCTGTTTCATTCACACATGTTGCACACACAAATCCTGCAGATTCTTCTCTCAAACAATAAACCCTGTTGCACTTTATGATGTCATGTTGTAATGCAGGAAGTGCTCCACTCATTTCTGCCCTGGAATTGCCCATCTCTACTGAACAAAGGGTAAAAGGTGCCTGTTCATTTGAAGACTACCGTGTCATATCACAAGGTGGAACAGAGCATGTTTAGTATTAGTCTGTCTACATCTCCAAAACTCAAGTGTTACTCATACATGTGTGAATGAAACAAAACACAACTCAAGGTCTGTTTTTGAGGTGGTAACAACATTCTAACATCAAGAGTCAATTTTGTGTAATATAGGATCTTTAATCTCTAGCAATGTCTTACGCTTTCAAAATGAGTTAGTAATCTGTTTATAATAGCAGCAGTGACGTTACTGTGATGCTGCTGGTGCCTGGAGCTGATTCTGGCTGATTTACAGATAAGGAAAATGCAATAACATGTTAGACTGGGACAAAGCAGTATATTACTTTGAACTTTTATTAAAACTGTTCCCTCAATCTTCTGAATGAACATCAAATTTGCCGCAATTTTGGGATCTTTTGTTGTTCCCTCAGGCAAAGTAGTCTTTCCACTCTAGTCTAGTGTCTTGTGAATCGTGTCAAATAATATACAATGACAGATTATACTTGATGAACTCAGATTTTTTTGGTAAAGAAGGAAGTCAACAATTTGAAGTTTGGTAAAGTAAATTATACTGTTAGAACTAGAAGGATTACCTAATAATAAAAAACATATTATTACACAATCTGTAATGATGATGACATTATACTTACTCTTACTTCGGGATTTTTACACTGTCCAAACTTGGGGACGTTACAACCTGTTTTAACTGATTTGTTGTACTCTCCAATATAATGTCTATATGTATTTCTATACGATTGACTGTCTGTTTTATTTCTTAATGTAATTCTGAATATAGTGTATCCAGTTACATAAGAGGTACTGCTGCAGTAACAATCTTCAAAGCCTATCTCACAGCTAGCTAATCTCTGCTGTGGGCAATAAACTCACAAGGCAATGAGATCAGTAATTCCCTGAGCACTTGCAGCTTCCTGAGTTTTAACTGCAAAGAATATAAAGAATTTATTTATTTATTTTTATTAAAGGTGCTGTACCTGATTTTTACTTCCTTAAAAAGGTGAAAAACAGAACTAGTTTGCAGTGGTCCAAAGTTATTCTTCACTTACAGCATTCCTAATTATTCTCCATTTCAAAAACCAAAGCATAGTTTTGCAGTCATGGTAAAGCTAGCAAACTAAAGCACTTCCTGATTATCTGATGATATATTTTGACCTCAAATACCTGGGACAGAAAATTGGGAACAGGGCCTTTAAGCATCAACGATTTTATGAAGTTAACAATAGCAGCTGTTTTGAATCGTTGGTGACACATGGAAGCCAAAGGTGAAGCGTCCAAACAAACCAAAACAAACATGGTGATACTGACGTACTTCAGGCTGTTTAACATCAATAATGACTATTTTGTTTGTGAAAAACATGCAAAAGATATGAAAATGCTTTTGTGGACAGGACAAGATGCTTTTCTCTCAACTGGATGTAGCAAAAGTTAGATTTTTTGGCTTGTTCCACTGTTGTGATGCTTCGATCCAGTCAGATTGAAATAATCGTCATGACATTCCATGTTTTCCGATTGTATTCAGTGAGAACCATACCAGATAGATAATGTGTAGAACTCAATTCAACCTGCTACACATTTCAGTCTGGCATGAGGGAGTTTACTAGAGATGGTCCAATATGTCTTATGTTGTGATGTGCTTCAAAAATACTTATAATTCAGGTTTCTTCAAGAGGCTTTAAAGTGAAGTCAAGTACTTTTCAAGTGGGGTGCTCATTTCCTGATATTTTTTTGAGAGGGACTGGCAATAGAAGCAGTCTTACTTTAAACCTACAATATTGTTGTGTTTTAATTTGTTTCGGAAGTCATTGTAAAGTAAGACTTTAAAGAAATGGTTTGTTTTGTTCTTTTTCATATCCAGATTCTTTTGTAGGGGTACCATCAGTTCAAAGGGCAGTGCAATATGGTCTAAAATTTGCATCAAAAAACAGAATTGGTACATTTTAAATGACTTGTTATGTTCCATAATTATTCCTCCCTTGCCTTGCATTTCAAGCATCTAGTTATTTACCAAAATTTGCTCAAATATAAGGAAAAATATCAGGTTTAGGGAGAACTGCTGACCTGTTCCTATTCACCGTATTCCTGAAGTTCCTGTGAGCGTGGCCATCATCATTCGTGCTGCTTCATTTTGTATGGGGCTGCTGATCCTACAGCAAATACGTTCTATGCCAAGGCTCCTAGAGAATTGGTGCAGTGTTGACTTGTTGGTGCACATGAACAGTGAACATTCTGCACAACTGAACCTACTTCATGCAATATTCAGTCTGCAAAACTTTTCTCACTTTCATCGTTGACATGAATGGGATCACCGTTTAGGTTTAGGAGAATTTAGTGCTACATAGCTTCAAATCTGACACAAACATGAGTTCAAATATCCATCCAATCCATATATCGATATATCCATAAGGTTTGGACTCTGCCCCTGTCCCATGCACTGTGTCCACACTGCAGAGATTTTGTACTTATCGAAATTCAAATATTGACCGAATAGTAAGAGAGTTAGGCTTTCTTCAAAGTCTTAAGTGGGCTAATAATACTAGTAGAAGAGTTAAAACAATATATTAGTAAATGGCTACTGTTTTGTCTTTAGGTGTTTTCATAAAATTCACACTTTTAAGGCAAAAAAATATATAACTGCAATGTGCTTTTTTTCCACTATGCCCCAGTTAGCAGTCCTGTTTGAGCCTACATGAACAAAGATACGGCCAAAATATTCAGTAAAAACATTTCAGTTCTTAGTTTATTTCAAATGACCTATAAACTTGTGGCCTTAAGATGATGCACAGTTGTTTTTCAGAGTCCTTGTAAAGAAAATGAGTACAGTTTCGTTAGTGCAGCCAGACGGACAGAAGGGATGGTTGCCATAGAAACATGATTTTAAGGGGGGTTGAGACGTGTAGGATGGAGCGGGATACATACACAAGATTTACATTTTGAAATATAATCTTCAAAATTGGTTTTGTGTAGAGGTTGGGATTTAATGTCAAAATGATTGGAGAAATCCACCATGTTTGTGCTAAATTTCAAGATGCAAGATTTCAACATTATAAAGATGCATTAGACAAATCAATATTAAATGGTAAAGAACCATACAGTAATCATTAAGGATTATTATTGTTGAATGAACAAGTATGAGTAAGTGTTTCGCTTCTTAAACTCTTCATAGGTTTTTATTTAGAGTTGTCTAAAGTATTGACAATCAAGTACCAGCGGTGGGACCAAGTCGTCGTTTTGCAAGTCTCAAGTAAGTCTCAAGTGTTTGACCTCAAGTTCGAGTCAAGTCTCAAGTCAAAGACGGCCAAATCCAAGTCGAGTCTCGAGTCACTGGCCCATAATTCCACATAAGTCAAGTTCAAGTTGTCTTCTTTGAGCTTCAAGTCATTTCAAGTCTTTGAACCAAAGTAGCTTAGATTTTTGCAGTTGATATGATTTTTAAGATAAATTGTACTTAAAAAGTCATAGTATATTTATATATGAGTATTTTTAGAGTATGTAAGAGAGAAATGCAAATTTTACCTTTTAAATGTCTTGACAAGACAAGACAAGAACAAATTCAGATTTAAAAGTGCTTCTCAAGTCCTAGTCAAGTCCTAAGTCACTGACCTTCAAGTCCAAGTCTTAGTCCATGTTATCAAGTTAAGTCTCAAGTCCTAAAAATAGTGACTCAAGTCTGATTCGAGTCCAGGTCACAACTTGCAAGTCCCCACCTCTGTCAGGTACTAATCAATACCAAAACTAATATCAAAACTAGATGCTCATTTGCATAGTTATCAATACTAAAGTTACTTTCACAGGACAGAAGTACACCTTTGCTGAACAGCTTCAAAATCTTGAGCTGTACCAGAACAAGTCAAAACCACATACTCTTGTGTGCCCATGTACCGCTCTGAAACTATACCTGCATGACAGAGGGATTACACAGATATAAGACCAAGAGTTGTATTGTCATTGTGTTATCAAGTTTATTCCTTTAGTATCTAAAATCGAGTTTGAAATTTTAGTAATGTGACTATAAATATACATGTATGTACATATTTTTTATCTATCGATTCAAAAGTTAATTGAGATGAATGGTCAGAAGAATAACAAGTTGAAGCCATGTGTTTTCTCTAGTACTTCTGTGGAATAGTATTATTCTTATGTAATACTTTGGTTGTTTTATATTGACAGTGATTTTTCAGGCTTAAAAACTGGCACGGTGGAATACACAACACGTTTTCTGTCACTGTCACAGCTCGTGTTTGTGTTAAGCAGGTGTTTATTTATCAGCAGCAAAACAATAGAGGAGCTTTGGATGAATTAATGTGACTGAGGTTAAAAAAAATTATTGTGTTACTTCTTGACCTGTTAATTATTTACTTGAATAGGCCTACATCATTCTTTTTTGTCGTGACTATTAAACACTTTGGTCCACAGCTCTGATTTAAATGCTGGAATTGTCTTGTCCTGATAAAATATGTGACATTTGTCGGAATAATAGCGCCGTTGTTTTGGAGGAACTCTTCTGGGCGTGTCTGAGGAGTTACTCATGGATGACATCATGATTTGTGTGAAGTGAATGAATTTGCATTAAAACAAATTTTCAACTTCCAGCACGTCTAATACCCACAAAATACTAAAGGCAAGAGAAGACGTTATTTATTGCTTAAGGTCTCATGACTGCAACAACTAATCAAGAAGGGCAAACTATTTAAACATCTCCAAGGCAAATAGTGTTGATCTGACAATTGGACTAGAAGGCAGGTTGTTAATTGGTGGAGGAAGGCATTGAAATAATTGGTACCACCGTAATAACTATTCCATAATTAGTTCAGTAAAGCAGGAACAAAGACAATTCATAATGACCAAGTTTATTAAGATTAACCTTTCTCCTAACCTAAACCCTTGATTTAGTAAGCCTCAAAGGCAGTCAATCAAAGTCTGGGTAAATGTAAAAGGTGGATGGGCATCTGGTCAAATTTACGTGAAAGCACTAATTATGCAATGACATAAACTTGCGTCTTTGTTTTTTTCAGATGTAAATATGAAAAACACAAATATGACACAATGTAAGTCTAGATGTTGCAGAGCATAGAGGGTTTAACAAAGAAAAATTCATGAGCACATAATTGCACAATGGCAGGGAGAGGATAGAGAAGAGACGGATAAAAACAGAGGAGACGTTGGAGAAAAACAGCAGTGACGATAATCTTACAGCCTCTACATCTCCCTACATCAGAGAGGAGAGGAGTGATACACCACTATTCACTTAGAATTTGGAGTATCACGGTGTCAAATGTTATTGTCACCATTATTGTGAGAAGAAACATCACAGTTTAAAAAGGCTGTGCCCAATTTTTTTTGGTGTAATACAGTGGTCCCTGGTTTATCACGAGGGGTACATTCTAAAAATAACCCACAATAGGCGAAATCCGCAAAATAGTCAGCTTTATTTTTTACAATTATTATTTAAGGCTGTAAAACCCCTCACCACACACTTTATACACTTTTCTCAGTCAGGACTGTTAGACCCTTTTTGCATCCTTCTTAAAACTTATTGCTGCTGTTGTCCTTATGTTATTTTCCTCCTTCTTTATGTAACGAACCGAAGATTAATTTATTCCGTAATGCCGCCCTACAGTCGTGTAACTTCTACCTTCCTTCAGCATGTCCAGAAGTTCTACTTTTTGTGCGTTGGTTAGCATCTTCCTCTGCCTTTTAGGTGCGACTGCAGGAGCCTTTGTAGGTGCAGAATTTCATTGAAATTGTGGATTTTGTCGGGGAGAAAACTTGCAAACATACAGCACTTCAGAATCACACTGCTAGCGATCGAACATTTATGTAAATTTGGCAAACTGAACCACTAAGCGAGTGTGATGTCGGCGTTTGGCGCCGCTCACATGATGCTCGTGGTGACAGGAGTGAATCTGGAGCCAGGCTCTATGTTATGAATAGGATTTTTTGATGGACAAAACAGCTAAAAAAATTCAGGATCATGTAGAGCGGGTTAATATGAACATTTTAAGACCAAAATTACAAGGTTCACAGCAGCAGTTACATAGAGAGGGGCGACAAGATCCTAATGTAAGTCAATTGGAGCCAGGGTCAGAAGGAGCCGGAAGAGCCTCCTGGAGAACTTCCTATTTGGCACACGGCAGCTAGCTCATTAGCTATGTCCACTCATATATACGGTCTATGAACTGAATGCATTCTGTACTGTACAAGAGACACAGCACGGAGGAGACTGATTAGCGATGGTCTACAATCCCTTAGCCAATCGAGACGCAGGGTGAGGAACACAATGTTCATATGCGCATTGTGTAAAAAAGCAAAACTCTGCTGTTGGGTTGTCTGAACATATATGGTTAACTAGTGTACTTAAATGTAAATGGGTAAATTAAATTGTAATTGTAAAAGCAGCAATTGTTGGCAAAATCAGACTACTGGGCGCTTTCTGCATCTAATAATGAAATATTTTATTGATTACTAACCCAGAAGTAAGAGATGGAAGCAGCGCTATGATTGACTGTTTTGACGGTTCACCCTTGTTTCACCTTGTTGTATGAAAAACCTGTTCCAAAAGCTGTACTGTGTACTTCCTGTGGTTTGACAATCAGGCTGTACAACATTAAAATGCTGTGCACAATTTCTCCAGGCTTTGAACTTGTCATTATATTAAGCTGTACGTACAGTCAGGAGCCCTATAGTGTTTGTCGCGCTTATGAGAATTATTTACTGGTGCGGCTTTATAAGTAATCCTTTGTATATGGGGGCGATGCAATGCTTTCTTTTCCCTCTACTTAAATCTCTCTCCGTTCATTAGTGCCTTTGAGCGCCCCTTTATTGCAGTTTGGATTTACAAAGACGTTCAAGCACAATGCACAATATATTGCCAATTTATTAACACTACCCCCAAGAGTTAAAGCAAATAACATGGATTTTTATTTAATTATGGCTTGAGAGGATGAAAAAATAGCTAGCCAGAGAGATTTTAACCATGTTATAATGCTGTTTCCTCATTAGAAATGTACCTAGAGTTGTAGTTTGCTTCATTGACACTGGTTTGAAGAATTTTGTGCAGTAGTTCTGCTCCCGTGAGCTGTCACAAACCAGAGACTAGGACGGTTTGAATTTTTCTCGGATTGTTTCATTACTGATACAAGTTGTTTACAGTTTAATTTAATGTATATCACATTCATTCAGACACATTTATTCAAGTGTGTCCTTTAATATTTTGTTCCATCAGTTATTTTGTCCCCTTGGAGACTCTTGAAATGAATGTTCCGCAGTATGGAATATATCTGATCTCCACAGATCTGACCTGTGCTATGCCAAGGTGAGGTCACCTACTTGTCCTAATGGAGACTTATTTAACAATTTAATGCCATACTGTGAAACATTCAAAGTAATGACATCTTATGCTATGTAACTGATTTATATTTGTGTCTTGGATATTGAAAATATTTTAACCCTTCGGTTTTTATGTGCAGGTTGGTTTCTTAAAGACACAGCACAAATATGAAATCATCTTCACGTTGCCGGAGGTTCCAGCTTTGGGGAAAAACGTGTGCCCCGCCCCTGTTCCGAGCCCACATATGCGGATCACAGACCTCACGCCTCTGCCTGAAGGTGAGAACAGTTTATTTTCACGAGCTAGGACCACACCACTACAATAGTTCACAATTAATATAGAGCAAAGAGACTGATGTTGCTGGACAGGCCTGTATAAATTGGGCTTCTGGGTAATTAAAGCTGTGGCGAGATGTGGGTTGTTGGAGTGGAGCTGTACAATGTGGAGGCATCGTCCTCCTCCTGAACCTCAGTCAATCATGTTAACTCCCATTAATTTAGCCAAATCACTGAAAGCTGTGCTTACAATGCTTATTTTTTTTGGAGCATATGTTTGTTGACCTCGCCTGACTTTAGAATTTTCTACTCTTATGTAACTTTTTAACAAAAATATTTTTACTCTAATCCATCTGTAGACATTACTGCTAATTATTTTTGTTTTATCCATTTCATGATATTTAAATATTGACAAAATCTGTTGCATCAGTTTATAACCACAGCGTTCCCTGTTCCTGTCTACGTAGTCTCTAGGTTGTAAGCCAATCTTAGAACAGCCAGATCTATATTTAACACTCATTTCAACATGAATCTAATGGTTTTAACTGAATCAGGCCATCGATGTGGAACTTAATCAGTCCATGGTCACAGTTTTAGCCATCAAATCTCAAAACGAGTTCTATATTCAGCTTCAGTGGCCTGGTACTGTATTTTTGCACTGTCACTTTCCATTTGAGTTTTCTCATCAGTTTTCATAACCTTTTATGTAGCCCAGTTAAAGGCGCTGTATCAGATACACTGTATTGTGTTAAAAACATGAACAAAATCTTTGTATCGGTCAAGACAAAAAATCGGGTACAGCTCCTTTTGTAAAAATTATATCAGCAAGGACATCTGGTATAAGAGAAAGTGTATCAAATTATAATTCCTATAACAGCACACTAAAATACTTTATTTTGCAGGTTTGCAGTGAAAAGAAAACTAATTTATGTAAACCTTTATTTGCTGGAATCAATACTCTAAAGATGACATCAGTGTCCACTTTGTGCCAGGCTAAATCTAAATCGTGTTATTGACTGTCTAGCTTCAGTCACAGCCTTAAAATCCCCCATGGAGACTCCTCTTGTGTTTAATAAAAGTCTGTTTGCTTATCAGTCAGCTGTACTCACAAGTCTGCTGTGTTGATCTATCAGCTGATTTATATTCCAGGTCACACAGTTTAATAATAAACCGTGCCTCACTCGGGGTTGTTGTTTTGTGTTTGGGGCAGGGGGTCTTAGGGTGACCTGCGAGTACATGGCCCAGGAGGAGGGTGTTCTGTGTGAGGAGGTGCTGCTGCTCAGTGAGACCAACGAGGATGTGTGCATCAAGGTCAAAGTTCATGCCAGAGTTATGGGTAAGGAGCACAACACTTCGTACATAAGCCTGTCATAATAAATACTATTATTGACTTATTGTTGAGCTGATATTTGGCTTGTTCCTGTGTTCCATTACCAATATTTATCAATACCAGTACTTAGTTTTCAAAATCCATGGCCATTCCCACAAACTAAAGATCAGAAATTTTCTTTTCACTGAAATACAGTTGCTCAAAGTTGCTGTTCTGGATATGTTGAATAATTTCTATTTAGTTACTTCTCAACAGATGACATTATGGTCATTAAAGCTGTATTTAAAGCTTATATAATTCATTTATTGTAATTGCAACATATTTCACCCCTCTGCCAGCACCCAGTTGTGTTGTACACTAAAATCAATAGTTGTTTAGGACTAATTCAGGAAGTTGTTTAATTTGGCACCACAAATAAAATAGGTTAGTCATTAAGGCTTTGTTTTCTGTTTTACACCAATGGCTGAACTCCTGTTGACCACAGGAGCCACATGAACATGGCAAATCATTTGGTTACAATTCAAATCTTGTACTTGTAAACTCACTGTGTGTATGAATGTATTGTAGTATATTGTATGTATAAATACATAAACCGTAGTATGGATATAATTAATCATATAATAATAATAATTTATTTGTTTTAGGTAATGTCTTGATTATTAGCAGTTAAGTTGAGCTGATATGTAACTTGAGCTGGTTTTCTACATGCTTAGAGAATGTTAATAGAAATTAAAAACTATTATACAGTTATAAAGGATTTTTTGACTGTTGATAAAAATAGAAGTTGTGGAGTGTGGAAACTTGTTGCTTTTCTGTTTTATTTATGAATGCTGATTTGTGTCAGTAATTAGTCTTACTCCCTCCCAGAGGAGCTGGAAAAAGGCAGTAGCACTGATATAATTCATTAGAATTACATTAACCTCCTTCTTTTTGTCAGTAAAGTTGACCCTTTTGTTTTCTGATCTTCTAAATGTAGTTTTGTGCTGCCATCTACAGGCTGTCGCATTTCAACACCTAGTTTTACTAGCTCACATTGAATGTCTCAGTGTTATCGGTTACAATATTGTTTAAAATAACAAAGACCAGATATATGAAGTATTTGGTATTCATAACATTAATTGGAAATGTGGTTGTGGTGTATGTCTACACACTAGTAAAACTCACTAGCAAACAATAAATAAAATAAACTAGAGGATTTTCTCCTGCCCTGTTGAGTATATTTCTGCAGTGTTGTGGCTAAATCAGTATCGCTGACAGATTTGGATGTTGACAGATGGACACTGTGCGGTCCAGACTGTTGTGTGCAAATAGTATTGGGTGTGCTCATGTGATAATTTCAACACTGGTCTGGATTGTTTATTTTTACCTCTGGAGCGTGAGCTCAACATCTGTGCAGATGTTTGTGGTTTTGAGATTAACTAATTCTTAACAGGCTGTTGTTTACACACACAGATACTGCGACTGCTGTTGGATCACAGAACAGAACATTCTTCCCTGTCTACAGTTTTACTCACCACTATCTACACTTATGTTAAGTTGTAGTAAATAACACTTGATTACACATTCATAAATGTGTAATTAACTCTTATTTATTTACTTTTTAATAATGCATGATGGGTCAAATTATATAAAAAATACTAAATCAAACGAGCAGATTATCTTTACACACACGGCTCCATGTTGCCACAAAGTTTTTTGCATATTTGATGGCCACTTCATTAGCCATGAAAATAAATTATATAAAAAATATTAAATTTTATTGTAAATTAAAAACAAGAAAACATCCTTGTACACACATGACTCCATGTTCAGATTTTCAGATAATTTTATGCAGGAACATGCGGTGAACATGCTGCATGTTTGATTGCCAGTTCATATAGACATTAAATGTTGGAAAAAGTGCTATACTTTTGAAATAAGTCATTGGAGAGGGGAAAAAGAGATTTTTTGCATTGGCCGGGAATCGAACCCGGGCCTCCCGCGTGGCAGGCGAGAATTCTACCACTGAACCACCAATGCACTGGTTCTTTGCTATAGGGCACGTCTAAGGTCTAGTACGGCCTATCCATTAATCATGTCATCAGCATGTTTCGAGGTTTTTTTGCCTGCTTTTCACTAGAATGAACAGTGTGAAGTTGATTCAAGTGTTTGATTGACAAGTTTAAACAGTTGAGCATTTTTTAGTTCTGATACGAAGGATTTGTTTCTCACAGAGTTTGTGTTGCCATTTCGCAGAGTTCAGTGGGAGTGTGTAATTTTGTGAAGAGGAGGATGGGGGGAGGAACAAAGACTTCAGCAGAGCAACAGGACTACTGAGGGACAGTGTAATAGGCTAAAGCATTCAGTTAAAAGTAAAAATATGTTCAGATTGGTACTTTGGGCATTTGTGAGTCTAATTAGCAATGCACAGGTGCTGCAGAAGATGTGAAAAAGGATTTCTGCATTGGCCGGGAATCGAACCCGGGCCTCCCGCGTGGCAGGCGAGAATTCTACCACTGAACCACCAATGCATTGATATTTCACTCACGTGCAGGTTGAACGTCAATCCTGGGGCATAAGAACGTCATCAACATGTTTCTTTGAACTGCAACTGACTTGTAACTAGCGTTCAAATGTATCTCCTTACAGCTCAGCATCATCAACCAAATCATTGATTTACGTCGTAAGTTTTGCCGACTTTTCACTCAAATGAAGAGAGTGAAGTCAGTTGAATAAAGTGCTTGACACGATTAACCAGATTAGTTGATCTTTTAGTTTTAATACAAATAATTTGTTTCTCTGAGTTTTCAGGCAGTGTTGCCACATGGCAGAGTTTAGTGGGTGGGCGGGTGTGTGTGTCGAGGCTGGAAACTGGAGAAAAGGGGGGGAGGAGCGAAGACTTGAGCGGAGCAACAGAACTACCGAGGGACAGTGTAATAGGCTAAAGCATTCAGTTAAAAGTATAAATATTAAATTGGTACTTTGAGCATTTGTAAGTCTCATTAGCAATGCAGAGGTGCTGCAAAATATATGAAAAAAAGAACTGTTCTGCATTGGCCGGGAATCGAACCCGGGCCTCCCGCGTGGCAGGCGAGAATTCTACCACTGAACCACCAATGCATTGGTGTTTTGCTCATGGGCAGGTCAAAAGTCAAGGTCGGGGCGCCTATTTAAGGACGTCATTGATGTGTTTTGTGAACTGCAGTTGACTTACAACTTCAGGTCAAAAACATGCTTTAACCTCTCATCACAACAACCGTATCATTGCCCAAGTCATTGGTTTTGCCGGCTTTTCACTCAGATGACCAGTGTGAAGTCAGTGGGTTGAAGTCTTTGAGAAGATTGAACAATTGAATAGCTTTTTTAGTTCTAATATGAACTAGAAAAGCACTCAGAAAGCGCAGACCTCCGCCAAGGACTACCCCCATTTTTTATATAAATTGCGATAAAATCAGTCTTCTGGATCAGATCCGGATCAGCCTTTGGAATATGAAAGAGGATCCCATTGTCCATCCCTGAGTCAAATTTCATGGGGTTTGGTCAATAATTAACCAAGATATTGAGAAACAAAATTTTTGGCCCCATTTACCACAATGTTAACTAAAATTTCAAAGTGATCCAGAATCTAGGATTTCTTCCGGATCACCCCCAAAATGAAATCACTTCTTCCTTTTCACATTTCCAACAAATCCTGAAAATGTCATCAAAATCGGTCCATAACTTTTTGAGTTATGTTGCTAACAGACAAACAAACAAACAGACAAACGCCGGCAAAAACATAACCTCCTTGGCGGAGGTAATAACTTGTTTCTCCAATTTTTGGGGAGAGTTGCCACATGGCAGAGTTCAGTGGGAGGGCGGGTGTGTATGTGAAGAGGCTTTGAACTGAAGGAAATGGGGGAGGAGCAAGGAGCAGAGCAGAAGGACTACTGAGGGACAGTGTAATAGGCTAAAGCATTCAGTTAAAACTTAAAATATGTTCAAATTTGTACTTTGAGCATTTGTGAGACTGATAAGCAATGCAGAGATGCTGCAAAATGCATGAAAAAAAGTACTTCTGCATTGGCCGGGAATCGAACCCGGGCCTCCCGCGTGGCAGGCGAGAATTCTACCACTGAACCACCAATGCATTTACACCAAGTTTTTGGGAGGGATGAATGTGCAGAGTGGGGTTGCAACTTTTCAGTCTTTGGGAATATAAGACAAAGTCTTTTTGCCCATTATCAAAAATGCCAAAGACTGATAGATTGCACACCACCCATGTCACACCCTAGCTGTGCCTTGCCTGTAAACATAACCCCTGGCCCTAACTCCTAAATTAACCCTAACCCCAAATGCAACACTACCTTAAAAGCTAACCCTGACTGTAGCCCTAGCCCTAATCCTAGTCTCAAATGTAATCATAACCCTAGTCCCAATCCAAACTCTAGCCCCAGCCCTAACCGTAACCACAGACCTATTCTCTGCCCTAACCTCAGCCCCAACCCTAACCATAGCCCTAATCCTTGTAACAACTGTAGCCCTAATCCAAACCCTAACCCTAACCCTACACCTTGCCTTAATCCTAACTTTAGCCCTAACCATAACCCTAGACCCATCTTCTGCCCTAAGCCCTAGCCCCAACCCTGACTCTAGCCCTGGCCCTAACGCTGGCCCTGTTCATGTTTTTTGGTCAATGTGGCTGCTTGTAACTGTGGTCATAAGGTCTGTGGTGCCTCTTGTGGCAGCAACCCCCAAACCCGGGGATGGACACCAGAAGTAAGAGATACCATCAGGCTGAAGAAGCTTTATTGAGCCTTTTTGGCTTGTGGGGCTCCTAAGGCAGCTGATGGATGCCGACGGGCCAAGCGTACTGCAGCTCATGGGGTAGCAGGAAGAAGAAGCAGAGATCCTCGACTGGGGATGTTTTTGGACAGTGGAAGGAATACTTTGAGTATTTCCTCAATCCCACTGTTACATCTTCCAAGGAGGAAGCAGATGTGGTTTGCAAGCTCCTTGGCCACAAGACTCCAAGGGTGGACAAGATCTGTCCTTAGTGTTTTAAGTACCTGGATGTTGTGGGGCTGTCTTGGCTGACACGTCTGCAACATTGTGTCGAGGTTGGGGACAGTACCTCTGGACTGGCAGACCGGGGTGGTGGTCCTTCTGTTTAAGAAGGGGAACCAGAGGGTGTGTTCCAACTACAGGGGGATCACCCTCTTCAGTCTCCCCGGTAAGGTCTATTCCAGGGCACTGGGAGGAGAATGAATCCAACCGATAATCGAACCTTGGATTCAGGAAGAGCACTTTGGTTTTCATCCCAGCCATGGAACATTGGTCCAGTTCTATTGTTTCCATCAGGAGCTTGAAGTTTCGTGGGAGTTTGCCCAACCAATCCACATGTGCTTTGTGGATCTGGAGAAGGCATTTGACCGTGTCCCTCAAGGGGGGGGGGTGCTCTGGGAATATGAGGTTTGGTATTTTATCACAAGAGCAGGAGCTGTGTCCGCATTGCCGGAAAAATCCATGAACAGAAATTCTAGGCATAGTAGGGCCAGACGGTGTTCAGGGATCACAGGATTTCATCTCTGCTGTTTGTGGATGTTGTCATCCTGATGGCTTCATCGAGCCATAACCTGCAGCACGTGCTGGTGCCAAGCTGGGATGACGATCAGCTCCTCCAAATCCGAGGTCATGGTTCTAGACTGGAAAGAGGTTGTTTGTTCTCTCCAAGTGGGTGGAAAGTCCCCTGCCTTAAGTGGAGGACGGGGGGAGGAACAAAGACTTGAGCAGAGCGACAGGACTACTGAGTGGAGTGTAATAGGCTAAAGCATTCAGTTAAAAGTAAAAATATGTTCAGATTGGTACTTTGAGCATTTGTGAGTCTGATTAGCAATGCACAGGTGCTGCAGAATACAAGAAAAAGGTCTTTTTGCATTGGCCGGGAATCGAACCCGGGCCTCCCGCGTGGCAGGCGAGAATTCTACCACTGAACCACCAATGCAGTGATGCTTTGCTTAAGAGCAGGTTGAATGTCAATCCTGGGGCTCCTAGTACTATAAGAACGTCATCATGTTTCTTTGAACTGCAACTGACTTGTAACTAGAGGTCAAAAGTATCTCCTTACAGCTACAGTTTTACAGCTCAGCATCATCAACCAAATCATTGCTTTACGTCATAAGTTTTGCCGACTTTTCACTCAAATGAAGAGAGTGAAGTCAGTTGAATAAAGTGCTTGACACGATTAACCAGTTTAGTTGATCTTTTAGTTCTAATACAAATAATTTGTTTCTCTGAGTTTTCAGGCAGTGTTGCCACATGGCAGAGTTTAGTGGCAGTCCCCTGCCTTAAGTGGAGGAGTTCAGGTATATCTGGGTCTTGTTCTCAAGTGAGAGGAGGATGAAGAGTGAGATTGACAGGCGGATCAGTGCAGTGTCTGCAGTGATGCAGTTGCTGTATCGATGTTGTGGTATCGATCATTGTGGTGAAGGAGCCGAGTTGACAGGCAAAGCTCTCGATTTACTGGTCAATCTACGTTCCTATTCTCACCTATGGTCATGAGCTTTGGGTAATGAGCGAAAGGACAAGATTGGTTGAAATTAGCTTCCTTTGCAGAGTGGCTTGGCACTCCCTTAGAGATAAGGTGAGGAACTGTGTCACACAGAAGGAAGTCAAGAGTAGAGCCATTGCTCCTCCATGCTGAGAGGAGCCAGCTGAGGTGGCTCAGGCATCTGTTCCGGTTGTCTTCCACCAGAAGGAGTTCCTGGGGAAAACCCAGGACACACTGGAGGTACTACGTCTCTCGGCTGGCCTGGGAACTCCTCAGGATTTCTTTCGACGTGGAGGAGGAGTGATTGAGCTTCTTACCCTATGTCTAAGGGAGCATCCAGCCACCAACCAAATTATGAAAGCTTGTATCCACAATCTTGTTCTTTGGGTTATTACCCAAACTCATAGGTGAGGGTAGAACCGTAGACTGACCAGTAAACCAAGAGCTTTCCCTTTTGACTCAGCTCCTTCACCAAAACAGTCTGATAGAGCAACCACTGCAGATCAACCTCAGCTCAGGCTCCTTCCCCTGAGGCGAGGTGAAGTAGTTACTAAGCCTTCTTAATAAATAAAATATATAAACTTTTTTCTTATTATAAAGTCTTTGCTCATTCATTATTAAGGTGTTATTATAATATGTAACCTAAGTACTTTTTACCAGTAGTTTTAATACTTGAATTATTTCTATTTTATTTTTGTGTTTCTTCTATTTGCAGACCGGCACCACGGGACACCCATGCTTTTGGAAGGTGTGCGATGCATCGGGGTGGAGCTCGAGTACGACTCCGAACAGAGTGACTGGCAAGGATTTGACGAATGACAATCTCCTCTTAACAAAAGTTAACATAAACATAAACCTGTGGAACAACTTTCTCTTTAAAATGCTGTTTACAACCATTTTAAGGCGGCATAATTGTTAGGACTTTTCACTTCACTTATTTGCTAAACCAAAAGTACTGTTTAAGGGACATTATCTCCCATCTTCTCCACGTGCTGTTCCAAATTCAATGTGCTTTGCTTCCTTGAACCCTAGAGGGCAGCAGTGCTTTTTGCATACACGCAGCTCGACTGTTACTGCACTTGCAATTCAAGTTCAAACGTATGAATGACAGGCAGTGGTAACGTTGTATAGTAATTACACTTTAATTAACCTTAATAAAATGCAAAATTTTCATAATGAACATATTGTTTTTTAGGCTTAGTAACTACTTAATACCCCAATCTCTTACTTAAGTAGTTACTAAACCCCAATAATTATTTATAAACTATTTACTCCTTATGTATTAAAGCTTTGTTCATGTTTATTAAGGATAAATAAGGTGTAGTTATTATGAAGTGATACCCAAGCATTTAAGGTTAGAGAATATTTTCAAGGAACAATATATTCAAGACTTGTATTGGGGAGTTTTAACAGTCCAATTGTCCAAAATAGACCATTATTGGCACTATAGAAGGCTTTAAGAAAATTTAATTGGGACAAAACTGTTTTTAGTTTGCTCACTTTCTAAGTTATAGTATCTTTTAATTATGGTTAGGTGTGTCCTGAATGAATTTAACTGCATAGTAAAAAGGTGAAAAACTAGATGATAGGGTCAGTACATTTTTATACAAGTACAAGAGCGGTTATGATGCCAAAGGAACTTTTTATTGGTGCTAGATGGATTAAATACAAATAAGCATTTTTAGTATTACATTAATATAGTTACTGGCACAGATCTGGCATAACTTAATGAGCTTTGGCAGGTGAAGCAAGTTTAACAATGTTAGCAAAGAAATGGAGAAACTGCAGTAGCGCATCTCCCAAACCTCTGCAGTGGTCAATGTCTTTTTGATTTTACTACTTGATTTTACTTCTCATGTACTCTCAAAGTTTTGATATGATAAACTTTTGACAGTTTTCAATCAGAGGTTTTCAAAAATATACATAATTTCCGTCCCTCAGTTTGACCTTACAGGTTTTTCAGAGTTGGTAAAGAGAAAAAAAAGTCTTTCATGAAGCCTTCACAAAAAGTGCCTTTCATCAAAGCCAATTGTCTTTGTTGACATTGTTGTAGTAATATTTTCCTTTGCTTCACTTTTATCATTCTCATTTTCTCACAAATATAAATAAATCTGGTATCAAATTTTTCTGTTCAGTTTTACATCAAAAGTGCCAAGAATCTGTTTGTGTGAACTGTCCTAACATATTTTTCTTTGGCTTTGTTTGCGACACACTTTGAAGTAAAAAATAAGTCTTCTATGTAGATTTGTTCTGATGTTTGCTTAGTTGTAATAGGCCAGATTTCAATGTGTCCCAACTAAAGTGCTATAGGAACGTAGTGGTTTATTTGTTCTTTGTTGAGTGTGGTTTGAATTTTTAATGTTGAAAATGAATAAAATTGTGTTTTGACTTTGGGTTGTGTCAGTTCTTTGTAGCACCATGAGGTGGCAGTGTGCATCGCACAAACCTGTATCCACAAATGTCAAACTATTAAAGGTATGTAGGCTAAGTGATGGAGGTATAATATAATTATCTCATTGGATTTATAAATGTATTGTTATAATGAGTCTTATTGCAGTACAAAGTAAACATTTAAATAGAACAGATTTGTTTACATTCTGCGGCAAAACCCACAACAACGTCATCCAAGTGGCCCATTTTTGTGTAATAAGGCAATAAGAAAATCCGTAGGCTATTGATTAGGCCTATGTATTTTCCCAACATAGCATTATCACTACTAGTAGAAGTATAAATACTTAAAGGGAGGTTATTTGGCAATACCATCATGATCACTTGCAAACTCATAAAATGTTCATCATAAACCTAAAAGTCTTGAATCATACTTAATCTGTTGATTTGATCTGCACTAACACCAAAATTATCGGAAAAGTGACAAATTTAAGATGTATTATATATATTTCATAAATTAGTCTAGTGTGAATTTTACTTGATAAATGCTAGAGCGCTTCTGAAAATGAATCCAAGTTTCTGATCGTCTCCGTGTCTTTTTTTAATCCGAAAATGAAGCATGAACTCTGCATACAATTTCAGCGCTCGTCCCGCGCTCAGCAACAAACCAAAGATAGAGTATCAGAGAAACAAGGTCTTTTATCGATGAAGTACATTTTCTATTGTAAGATGTTTTTAACTTCAGTCAGTCTAGAATAAATGTGTGCGTAATGGGTGTACGTAATATTGTCTTTTGTCTCCATGATTCCGTTATACAAGTAAAGGAGACGGGGTGCATTTAGAGAATTTACATCGAAGAAGAAAAAACACACACACACAAATCCAGTGAAGAGAAGTGTGGCCTTTGTATTGAAACTGCCATGATGAGAAAAGTAATAAATGAAGTTAGTATTACTATTATAAAGAAGATTTACGCACCACACATGATGCTCAAAAGTGAAGTTTAGCCTGTAACATTTTGAAGTTTGTCCACTTTTTTTTTTTTTTTTTTTTTAAACTCCAGAGCAAATGAAATGGAACTGAGCCCAACAGTTTTTCAGCAAAAATGTGCCACTTAAAGACTTTTTTCTGTTTTGTTAAAATGTATTTTATTTTCTTAAAAAACAACTATACATTTAAATCACAAAGTATCTTTATAATTAGAGAAAGTCACGAAATAGTGTTAGGATAGTTTTGGATAACATTTTCATCATCATTATTTCCATAACATTTGTAACAAAATATTACATGATCTGATACAGGGCAAGTCTTTATTTTAAACTGCTAATAATACCAATGCAAACATATCCTATGTTATGAAATTTTCACCCTGTAGCACGTGATGAGAGAAGAGACAGTGGTCATATTATCCACTGCTCACTTCATTGAGTCTGTTCCTAATCCACAGCTCCCGGAGAGTTTAGGCGACATGTGCATTGTCCAATTCAATATGTGCAAAACAAGATCCTAATGCTGTAGTGTCTCATAGTCCATAAAATATGCACATGAACTTGCTCGGTTCATTTCACGAAGAGGCTAGGCTACATAAAAGACTACGCTACGCGTTCATGTGATCAATGCCGTGCGCGTGTTGGCTCGTCTTCAACAAATATTACCGTTCAATGATCCGATCCTCGCTGTGCATTAAATGTTTGCCATTCCTGCGCAGATTTGCGTGGGCTGTTCACTGCTCAGGAAGGTGTGAACTCTGCGTGGCCCGCTGCCCTCGCATTGACCCTCGGGATTACAGTAATCTCTGTTGATTGATCTGATTGATCAGATTCATGTCCACGGGGCCGCGGTGCGCACGAGGCCGCGGCACCAGTGCGCACACGGTCCAAACGGCTTTCACTAGCGCGCAGTGACAATCTGCAGAAGACAGTGAGAATGGTGCTGCTGCTGCTGCTGCTGATGATGATGATGATGATGAAGGGGCGGAAACTGTTCAAAATCATAAGAAAAAAAAAATCACAAACTTTATTAAAGCTGTGTTTTATCCACACGAATGAGAATTGCCACGCTCCTTTGTCCAGGCTGAACAGAGGCGAGAGCAGAACAGAAACGTACAAAAAGGTGCCTATTTTCAAAATGATATTGTCACTGAAACAGAAGGCTAAAGAGTCTATAATCAGTCATATCGCTTTGTGTTCACTTAGAATGTAATGGAGGAAACGACTTTAGTAAGCCAACATTTTCAGCACACAGGAGAAAAATTACGCTCTATAAAAAGATTAGCCCAATCTAAAAAAGAAACAAGTTCAGTTTCTATTTCAGCTGGCAGCTACTCCCCCACCTCTCTGGAACCAGGTGAATGACAAAGCGCAGACAAATCTTCACTATTACCGCAACAAGTGCCAGCAGAAGACTACCCCCAAACTCGATGCACTCCACTGAGACTGTTTACATCCACATAGTATCAGCAGCTCTATAGATTGTACACATGATGTCTCCCCTCAATAACTGTTCACTATAGTTTCCTCAATCTCTTTGGCTATTCGTATAGATTCTCTGCTATTCTAAATTAGCAGATGTCAACGCTGCTTCCAATCTCACTTCTTTTTTTTTTTTTTTTACTATAGACCGTGCCCATACTGGAGAACAAAAACAAGAGGCATGTTTGTCCAATATTATGTGTGCCAGAATCAACAACAACTGGACTGAAATGCTGAAATCAAGGCTAAAATGCGGAGGGCTGGAGAGGAGAGGCAGAGAGGGGGACAGTGGTAGCAATCAGCCTCTCTTGTCTGTGGCCCCAGCGTATGGTTTGATTGACAAGCTCTATTTAGCGAGCGGGAGATTAGGCAGCAGCTGAAAAGACGCAGTGTGCCATAATTACGACACAAGGAGCACAACAAGACGCACACGCACACAAGACGCAAGACTATAATTATATAATCTGCCGCTAAATGGCTTTCTGCTCACTTTTTGCTGTGATGTTTTACTTAAAGGCAAAAGGAAACACAAATATTTATGCCCCAGTGGTGACAACAGCAGCAGCAGCAGTAGCAGCCTGATTTAGGGAAGTCAATGTGAGAGCGCTAGCACCTGCTAACAGTCTCCCTGCTTTATTTACACTGTAGAGAGCAAAATGATTTGGAATTGTAGGGAAATGTAGGGATAGGCTGTAATAAGTTTGGCAGGGCGTAAAAAAATAATCCATATTTTGGAACCTGTTGATTTGTAAATCAGTGGGCAAATAGATAATGGTTTGTATTTAATCTATGTTAAGATAACAAATACATGCCTTATCTTATAAATGCTTTTGATTCTAAATTACATTTTGTTCACTGTTTTAATAAAGATTTAATGCCTTAGAAGCGGCTATTGGACTGGCAGAGGTGGTTTATGATAAACTAGGAGTTTTTACACATTCACATGGGAGTGAGTTATTAGGATATTACAGCATTTCGTAACATTTATTAACCCTTGATCCAAAAATACGCTGAGGCTGTAGGACATTAAAAATGCATTTTAAACTTAGATAAATTGAGAGGTCTGAGAAAGGGCATCTGATGTAACGCCAAAACTGCTCTATTTGTACATATATTTCGTGGAACAAATACAGGCTTTGTTGTGTTTTATCTTATACTATCCCAACTATGCCAAAGCAGCAACATAAAAGGCCTCTTGGTTTATTAAAGAGTTTACATTAAGGAGTTTCTGAAGAGAATCAACTGTATGAATCCATCAAAAATATGTGTGCTTCTTTACAGTTCACATTTTGTTCAGAAAATACTGAATGGATGGTCCCTCCTCACTCACTGTAATCTAACCAAATCCCACCTGACCACTGACACTTGTACCCAGGGTAAGATTTTTTACGTTTTTGTGGATGATTTTTGTGTCAGTCCATGTAGTTGTTAGTTTTTTTTAACGAGCAGAAATACCAAAGAAGTGGGGTGACATTTTATTTTCGATTTGTTTGTGCCCAAGTCTGCCAAAAGACCACCGCCAAATTGGGCTGTTATTAAACTACACATTTAAAGTTTTTTATTTTTGACACATCAGTGCACCTACACTATGAGCTGTTCCATTGTATTTAGTAATTATGATTATTGTCAAATGATATTTAGCAAATACACAGATCATGTGTGACAACTTGTAAATGTATTTATTGACTGTGACAATGCAGACACTCGTGCGTAAATGCGCACCCGTCTCCAGCACCGCCGCTTCCAGACTCACGCCCTCCACAGAGTCCAGGACGAGGACCAGAGCGCACGGTGAGGTTCAGTCTATCACCGGCTCGGGGCTAAATCTCCGAGAAATCGGGTCATGTTCTCGCGCCTGATGGTTGTCCGCCTCGCGCTCATCTCTTGTCAAAACGTGCCCTGCTCCGCGCGCCAATCGCAGGCCGTGCTGCTTGGGCAGGAAGTGACGTCAGGTGCTCCTTTCTCGGTAAAGTGGTTCGTGTCGCCAAAGATCTGAGCCACACTCAGCACCTCACGGCCGCAGCGGAGGTCTGTGTGAGAACAGTCATATCAGTCACAGTGCACGCGCTCGTCCCGCGGACACAGCCCCCCTTTGCTCCACGAGAGCTCCCCTAGACCTCCTCACACCCGATCAGCCCAGAAATATGCCCCGGACGCAGCGTTGACCCGATCCGGACACACTCAAACTTTTGCTTTGTTTCTCTACGAGTCCTGTAGCCGCCGTGGACTCGTCATGTCGGAGCCGTGAGCACTGGCCCATGGCTGGACCGAGGTTTGTCTAGACTTGGGGCATGCGGATAGTGGACCACGGACACAGACACGAGACACAGTCCACGCGAGGTTAAGCGCGAGCAGAGCATTAGCAGACACCCTTGTAAATGTTTGACCAAACCACGGCGATGGGAGATGGGAGCCACCGCTGTGGACCCAACCCGCTGTGCCCGGACCGGAGCCGGTCCCCGGTGCAGAGCTCCACGGACACACCGGGCACCTCCGCCTCCACCCCCACGTCCTCGAGCGAAGACGGCCACGACAAACTGTTGGGAGTGGACCCGGACTACTGCCGCAGGATCCTGGTCAGAGGTCAGTCCAATAAAGGTCTCACACAAAAGGATAACGGGCAGGAAACGTAGCATTGTCCAAGTGCACTTGTGGGTTAATGCACTGCTGCACCAGTGACTCCGAGGAAAATCCGCCTGGACCTCTAAAATATAACCCAAAATATAGCCATTATTGCACTATTGGTATAAATAGCCTATTAGAAATAAACTAATTAATGTTGTTAAAGAGAGCTACAGGGCAGTTAAATACGTGCTCTTATGGACATGAGTTTGTTTTCACCAACGCAAAAGTTTAGAACAGCACAGTAATAAACATATAATGTAAAATAAGAGGTGTAGATCGTGCGTCTCTCTGTTGGAGTAAACACATTAGTGAGATCAATACAAAAACAAAAGCACTGTGACAGAACCCACGTTTAAAGGATCAAATAGCCTGTGGTTCAGAGCTTTATTATTTCAGATCCAGAAATATTATGTAGCCAATAATCTACTACTCAAATAGGCCTAAGGAAACATTTGCCTTAAACAACTTTTGCAACAGCTTAACAAATAAAGTATAGGCTAATAAAGCTGAGTAAAAATATATTTTTAAAAAATCCTTGTGAATTTCATATTGTCTGACGACAAGTAGTAATACTGGCGAAAACAAAGGTAGTTGTCTATCAACTGTTGAATAAAAAAATACTATTAAATTAGAATTTATATTCATGTGCATTTGTTGACATTGTCGTGCTATAATATTCTACAAATGAGCACTGAGCTAAAATAATATACTTCGCCCTGACTGCCTTTGTTACTCGGGATAATATTAAATTCTGAGAAGGACAGGTCCACGCCCAAAGTGGCAGCAGGAGGCCAGGCTCCTCCAAATCAAACAGAAAAATATTATTACATTTTATTTAATATTTAGGCCTACCTGCATCAGCTCAGCAAAGTATTTCATTTGTTTTCCATTTTGGATTATAGAGCCTCGTGTTCTGAGTGAAAGGTAATCAAATCATAATATACTTTCCTAATATGTCTTAGCCACTTTAAAAGTGCCGTGGGAGATTTAAAGAGCAAGTGCCAATAAATTAGGTAAATATATTAATATATGCTATAAACTTAAACATTCAACTTTAAAAATAGCTACTTATAATATTAAAATATATCATAAATATATTAAAATGTTTTACGCAAATAAGGAAAGCAATAGTTTATGTAAATTAATACATACATACATACATAACCAAACAAATAAATAAAAATATGCTTTATGTTTTTCTAACCTTAACCATAATTAAGTACCTTGTTTTTATGTTTGACCATCCAATTATGTCTCTGGAAAGGATGCTCTCCAAAACATACATGTGCGTAATGTGGTAGGTGATGTGCTGTACACTATGCACGCGTAAAAACTGCAATAACAAGGAACAAAATGGCGAAAGGACAACCCGAAACTTAAATGCCTACAGTGGTTAAATTTAGCCTTTACATGTACCCGATCTTTGGTCAGGTTACTTCTCGTGAGTGGTCATTGCTCAAATAAAACCGCTGTTCCTGATGGAGGTTTAGGTCGAAGCGTAAATCGTGATTAAACTCGTTGTTGTCATTGTTGTGGCCGGTGTTAATTGTGTATAAAAGCGGAAGTGAGCTGTGTGGGCATAGGCTTGGTTTCATGTGGGTTTAATACTGGGCATTGCATCGACTGGCAGTGGCACTATTTGTTTTTAAAGCCCCGTGAGTGACTCTATGCGCCGGAGTGCTTATATGTGTGTGTGGCGCGACCTCGGGGTCACGGGGAGGTCAGCAGGTCTGTTACACAGCGAGCGCGTTTCTGCTGCGCACGCGAATCTCTCCGCACCCACGGGCTCCTATACAGAACCATATACATTGACGTCTTATATTTATTTATTTAGGAGCTTTGGATGATGTAGGCTGGCATAATTTAACGGCGTTACGCACAGCTATTATGCGTGCGTAAAGATGGAGGCATTAAAGTGCTGTGGCTTTATAAAGCTCAAGTCTGTGGCTGAACCAACTGTAATATCTTCACTATTTACTGATGTGAAAATATGAGGCACACATATAATGTTTGCAATTTACTCATCTTTTATTATTGCCTAAAATTAAGTTTACGCACAGGGATCTTTGTTAAATTATCTAAGGCTACGTTTTGTGTCTAAATGTTTCAGGGTGAAATCTGTGCAATAATTTATAGTTTAGAAAATGTCCCAGTACCTGTATATTAGATAAGGATACTCATATTTTATATTTCGCATACGCCAGATTCGTGAAAACGCTCAAACACAATGGAAATTGGAAACTTTGTTCAATAAGATTGGTTTCATTTTTAATACAGACCTTTTCATTTTTTATTCAGATAAATGTTGTATGAACGTACATGCATAGACAAAGAGTGACTGTTGTCCACTCTGCTCTGTCTGTGAATGTGATAAATACTAACAAATATTTCATACGTGAGGCGCAAATACCTGCGCAGAGCCAACAGCGAGAAAATGTCTTCTGAGTTATTTATGGAGCTTCAAGACACGAGAAAGCACGAGACAATTGCAGTCTGCATCCTCAGCGCATGGACACACTCTATTCATAATATTTTTATTTATTTTACCCTTTCTCAGATTTTTTTTCAACGCCACATCAACGGATCTTACCATATATTTTAGACTTGCAATGGGCTTGTCTTTATTTAATTTAATTAATTATTTTTTAATTTTTTTTAAATTATAGGCTACCACTTACTTACATATTGTGATACGCTTTTGTATGTCCCAAGAAAGACGTTTCGACGTGTGTTTTATGGGTATTTACACAGTTACATGTTTATTTACATAGTTACAGTTGATGAGTGAAAGTCCCACAGGTCATTAGATCCACGCAGACACGCAGTTTACCATAGGCTAGCAGCATTGGCAATGGCACTATTTCGGTTTGGCCCATTCATTCAATTTTACGCTTTCAGAGTCCACATTTTACGCATGTGTTTGGGCACGTCAGATAACATTATGCATACGCAAGGGTCCTACTACCCAAGTGCATGCAGGCTACGGCAACTCAGTTAAAGTTCCACATCAAAATACGATTAAAATATTTAAAAAATATTTTGAATTTTTTTGTTTTTGTTTTGTTTTTTTCAAGACTTGTAAGTGCCACTGGCTGATATAGAGCTCAATTTTCGATAGTACAGAAGTTTATTAAGACAAAGACGCATAATGACTTGTTAGGCTCATAGGCTACTCATATAGTTTAAGCAATTTGTGAGTAAAGTTCCCTGGTGCGTTTATTGAGCAGATATAGTGAAGGATATTGCCAGTATTTGTACTTAATACAAAGCTTCATGTTCCGTAAGTGTCACAATAGCCAACATGACGCACCTGACGCACAGACAGGAGACTACGTAAGCTTGCATTTTGCGTGGCCACATGGGCCTGAGGGAACCATTAGGAAATGTGTGTGTGTGTGTTGTTTTTTTATAGTTTGTCTAACAGGTGTTGCAGCAACATACAGGCCACATATCGGACACCTCTCTGGCCTTAAAGGAGAATGCACAATATGAGTTGGTGACACTTGTCTTTTATAGCATAATAACACATAAACCAAAGTGTTATACAGTCACTGCCAACTTTAATAGCCCTACACCTCGGGTTTATTTGTGCGTAAATTAAGAGCTCTGTTTCTATGGAAACCGTCGGTTAGAACCAGGGACAAAAGACCAATTAATGTTTTCTTATAGAAGTCACAGACAATTAGTGGGCATTTCTATGGCAACAAATTATATCGGTTTAAGTTCATTTTTTAAAAACATTTACTGCAATTATTCCAACACAATATAAACAGGTGCAGCAATGAATTTTGTACGATTGCTTAGTTGGAAATGCGTTGTGCGCCTGTGGCTAATTTGGCAACATGGGCCTATCGTAAAAATGTGCACGCGAAAGCTATTAGCGTCATAATCATGTAAAGTAGCGGAGGCTTTAGCTTGTAAAGTTTTCATTTTTTTGCCTCTTCTTTTCCCACAGATGCCAAAGGCACGATAAGAGAGATCGTGCTGCCCAAAGGCCTGGACTTGGACCGGCCTAAGCGCACGCGAACGTCGTTCACGGCGGAGCAGCTGTACCGGCTCGAGCTCGAGTTTCAGCGCTGTCAGTACGTAGTGGGGCGCGAGCGCACCGAGCTGGCCAGACAACTCAACCTCTCTGAGACACAGGTGAGACTCACAATACAGAAACTGTCTGTTATTAGCATTAAATATTATAAACGCAAGTCGAAGCCATGTTTCAAAGAGCAATAGCCTGCAGATTTTCCGAAACGTAACGTAAATTATAGATACATAAAAAATAATTAGAATAAATACAGTGTATGCTTGTTTAATGACTGCTACAGGTGCGTTGTGTAGGTGATAAGCGTCCGAGCCAATCAGAATGGTCCATGGTAACACTGCCGTAACCACGCCCACACAGTCACAACTGAACTGAATACAGTTCTTATTGTTTTATGGGTTGAACTTGTAAAAACCTCAGTTGCTTGAGCCATCGTCACCACAATAGTTGGTCATTTATAATATGTATTGTAACCGTTATTTTTGAATGAATAAGATCGGTTTGTTTTCCTCTTCTGTACACAGTCCACAGTCCTCTCATTCAAACATTCCCGCAGCGCGCTATAGCCCCACCCCTTGTGAGGAGGGCGTCATTACGCACAGTTCACACGCAGCGCACATAAGGGCCCCGGGGAAATTGGGCACTGAAGTTACAGCAGACAAATGCACTGCAATAGCCCAATGAATATTTTACATACTATGCCAAGTGTTCTGCTATTTACATCGAAATATTAGACAGATTCATTTACAGTCAAGCTCCAAAGTACATTTGTGATTAGAAACAATGAAGTCCAAACTATCCTGTAGTGCAACTGCGGGAAACATAATTACCAAACTCGCAGTAAAAGCAACATATATAGGCTATAACAATTATATTTATTTGGGTGAATAACTGAGTGTCCCCTGCCCAGATGAGACCCACCATACCGATTTTTACTCGTTAGACTTAACCTTCCTGCACACTCTTGGCCCTACTTCTTAAAATGCTTACATAGTCGATTTACACAATATTTTGAAAAACATAGCATAAACGTAAATAAAACAAATCCAATACAGCATGGAAACTGCCCTCCAAATTATAATTATCCAAACCTTGTGGATCCCTTTTACGCACCGCTCGAAGAGGCCCGTGAGAGCGCCGTGTGTATACTTAAGTGTGTGCTTTTGTGCTTATTGTGTGTGTGTGTGTGACTGTGTGTGTGTGTGTTAGCCCCAGTGCCCCTCGTTAGCGCTGACACTCGGGGTGTTAATGGGAAAGGCCCGCGCTTCCCGCTGCTGTTGAGGGTCCAGCGCGTCACTGGATTGGCTGAGCGCGCCCCGCCGTCTGGAAAAAAAAAAGAGAAAAACCTGTCTGACCTTCGAGGCAGAATAAAACCGAAATAATAAAAGTCTTCGCAGCTAATGGCGTGAAATATTAAACCACAGAGAACAGCAAACCTTAATGCAGCGCGTTACCGAGGCAGCTTTTAAACGTGATAAAAAGGCTTTCACTTGGTTCTCTCTCTGATTGTGCGCTTTTCTATTGGCACCTTTTTAAGCAAATGCACCATTCAAGGCTAATTAAATACGAAAGCTTTAAAAGTTGTGTTTCATGTTTATCATGTTATTTTAGTGTTTGTTGATGTTTTAGTTCAGGGATTTTTCCATAATTTGCTTTTATGTCCCAATTAGAAACAAATGGGTTTCCATTTGGACAAAAGTGTCCATTTTGTTTCCATTCCATGCATTTTAGACTTATTTTCCATAGTCTAATCTCCAGTTTTTTTCTTTAAATAACTAACTAACTGAATTTTGATACTAACATTAAATGTAGCATCTCTTCTTCGAAATAAATTGATCTCGTCTTCAAAATGTGTCTCCTGGAGCCACCAACTGCAGCCATTGTTCTTTGTTATGGTGTATGTAACGAGCCTCTTCTTTATGCGCGCGTAAAGCAGAAATACTAATTACGCGCTAATATGGGAGGTTGGTTCGTTAAGTGTTTTTTAACTATGTTTGGGGATTTGGTCATTGACCCATAGTGTAACTCCAATTAGTTTGGTCAGGTATTCACAGTTATCACGCAACGAGACGCGCACACAAACCCACGCAATGGCAACAAATTGAAAGTACCATCATTTTTCATTGTTCACCTGTAAACATAAAATGCTGTTTTAAGTGGTCTGAGCTCAGTTTTAACACGCCACTATTAAATTTGATGAAGCTTATTTTCAGACAGAATAAAAGCATGGAATTTAAGATAAAATGTTTAGGCCTATTCAAAGTCATAAAAACTAACTCAGATAACAATTTAGGCTCTTTGTAATTCAGGATGTGGAAGCAGTGAGAGAAAAACCTGATCAATCCATATCTCCACAAAACTTTTTTTTTTTTTCGTTGCTTCCTTGATGTGCCCGTGCGTCATTACGCAGCAACTTGGCGTTCCCGGTAATAATCTGTAACCGGGCAGAGCTCTCCCTCGGTCCCGGCAGGTGGCTCCCCGCTACAGGCAAACGCAGCTGGGGTACTTTCTCTGTGTGTGTGTGTGTGTGTGTGTGTGTGGGTGTGGGTGTGTGTGTGCATGCATGCGTGTGTGTGAGTGTAAGAGAGAGAGAGAGAGAGAGAGAGAGAGAGAGAGAGAGAGAGAGAGAGAGAGAGAGAGAGAGCAAACGGTGACAATGATATGCGTAAAAGTGCTTTTTACGCATTTGTTTACAGTTTGTTTGTTTACATTTGACACATGGGAACATATAGAGGCATTTGAAGAAACGACTCAGCAAGACACAGTGTGTATTATAACAAGTATAAGAGGGTGTAAAAAAAAAAGTATATGCATAGTTTAATATATGTAAAGTATATATATAGTGGTAGAAAAAGTTTCCGAGATCTGGACAGGATTTGGCAATGGCTTTATTCTTATTATGCAATTGGAAGAATTGTGTTTTTATTTTCGTTCTAATGCCAAATCCTAATTTCAGATCCTTAAAGAAATGCCTAAAGTATAGCCCTATGGCCCAGGACTGACATCACGCTGCTGGTAACAATCGTTTTCCAGTCTGCGTGCAGCTGAGTGCCGCAGCCGCTACTGTATCAGTCTGCCGCACTTTGAAGCTGGCCCATGGAAAAGCTATGGATTTAATGGTGCACCAAGTTTAATCCAGGCGCAAATGGGAAGGCGCAGGCAGAGGCTTAGCGCTGGTTCTGATGGGAGTTCTGTTTAATCTTTAATGTAAATCTGGCTGAACACTGCGCAGATGTTTGCGTTTGTTTTTACTTGCTTGTTTGTTGGCGGCTGTTTGAGGACATTGCGAAATGGGATGAGCCTTTGCATTGAGTTTAATTATGTAGTGTTGTAGATATAATTACTTGGCAAAAGGGCTTTGCCTATAAAAAGGGATAGAAAAAGAAGGAGTGAGAGAGAAAGAGAAGAGGTGGAGAAGTGTGGAGCTGTAGGCTATGAAAGTTCAAGTCTCAATCTCTCTTGGTCAATTCATGTTTGTAAATAACAATTAATTCTGAAAAAATACTTGGTTAAATAAAGATTAAACAATAAAGCTACATTTTATATAACTTTTTGGTTTCATACATTTTCAACAGTGGCAGTAAAGTTTGTGTAGATTTAGAAAACAGTCTATAATTTAGTTATAATGAATAAATCCATTATGTATTTACTATGAATTAGATGGTCTGTACAGAACAGAATTAGTTATATATTTCTAGAGGCCTGTAACAGAAATATAGCCTAATGAAACCAGTGTAGCTTATACTGTATTCAGAGTTTTCCTAGTTGGCATATCGAAATAACAGCTTCTTTATCGAGGATTTGTTATTAAAGTAGCTAAAAATAAAGCAAAGTAAAGTAGATTTGTCAATATAATTAGGGTCAATGGTGTGTGTGACCAAATAAATCTGGTGGTAATACACAGTCCACAACAGGTCTAAATCAGATCACCATCTCTGTTTGGACAGTGTTTACCTTGATACTAAACAGCCCAGCTCCAGACAAGCATAAGTCTATTTTAAACTACAGTACACAGTAATATGCAAAAAAGAAAAGGCTTATAAGAAAAGTTTCAAGATGTAGCCTGAAAATCCACTTGGGATTTTACGCCACCTCTACTCCTACATGTTACAATAATCAAAATGTGTTGCTCAGTGTAATTTAGATTAGGTTTAAACAACAAAAAATAGAAAAAATCAATTAAAACTACACAGTCTTCAATGAGTGAAATGTTATGTTAATATCTAGAGTTGGCATAGTTTTTAAAGGTGCACTGTGTAACTTTGCTCATTATTTCTTTGACAAGAATGGCCAAAAATACTACCACCTGCTTGTCTCCATGGAGATAGCAAAGTTTTAAGTCACTTTTGTGAAACGTTACTGGCAAAACATGATTATGGAACCTCCTCTGTAAAACTTGCATATTGCCACTTTGTAATACATGTTAAAACCACAATTAATACTGGTTTTGTTGAGATTTTCACCGCAAAATCCACAAAATAAACCTCAGTGGAACTTTACAGTGTTTTAAATTGTGAATGTCCTTATTGTACATTGTTGTCTGGGCACTTGTCTAGAGCCACCATGACGTACACTGGGCAGATGTAGCTCTATAGAGGGGCAATTGTGGCATCTTTCTTCACAGTGGAGGAGATAGGAAGCAAGCAGACTGAGGCGTAACACCGCTCCTCTGTGCTTTCAGTTCCACCCAATGATAACTTTCTTTTGTCCTTTTAATTTGACCTAAAGCCAAAGCATAATTTCATAGGCCCATTGTCCAACCTGCAGCTCCAATCAACTGATGAGATAATCAGGGGACGGACATATTAGCAATTACGTCTTTGTCGCTTTTGTTGTAAATCACTTCCACATTGATTTGACTGGCCGCTGTGAGTGAATGTAAGCGAATGTGTTTGGCTAAGAACGGTATAATTTAGGGACATATGAAAACGCAGTGTAATCCCCGAGCCAGGAAATCAGATACAAGTGGTCGAACGCTCAGGTCTAGAGTGGTGATGGACAATTTGTATGGGCGAAATGTTGAATACAAACTAATAAGAATGTGTGTGCCAGATGCCAAATACAGTATAATGCATGTAGATTAATAGATTATTATCAGATGTAGCTCTATAGAAGGGCAATTGTGGTATTGTTTACAACCTACAGCGCAGTCGGAACAGAAGAAGTTGCTTGAATGAGTGGCAAAACATATTAATTTACAACCTTCTTTTGCAATCTGCAGCATAAACACTAATCAGAAGTCTATTTTCTTGTATTTACGTCTATGGCTTGCTATGAATTCCACCTAATAAGACCTGGGTGTATGTCTTTAGTTTCTCTGCCAAGTCTAAATGATGTATGTTCAAGTATTTCTGGTTTCCTCATATGTGCAGTACTAACTAAGCACATCCAAAACTAGGGCTGAACCAAAACCTGGACTAGTTGCCTGAGAAAAATAGAATCTCTCTGTATTTTTTTTCTTTTATACAGATGTCTATTAATCTGGTCGCCCTCTTTCACACCTCAAATCAAAACCAGAATCATGCTCATGCCATGTGAAACAAAGGATCCCGCCCATCATTTACAAACAAAACGACATTTCTCTCATCTTGGATTAACAGTTTAGCGCTTCACTGATTGAGTCGTCAGAAATCCACAATGTTTTTCTGTCACCTGTGATACGTGTCCCTGATTGGCTAATCCGCCTGTCAATCACCTGTCCATCACGCCCACGCCCATAAAGTTGTGAGGAAGTGTGTGTTCTGTAGCCGAGGCAACCAGACCAGACCAGGACTAAACCAGGACTAAACCAATTGTGCATCCAAGGGCTAAAACCTGGACTGCACTCTAAGAAGCTGTTTAAGATTACTTTTTTTAAAATAAATGCTTCTATACCCGACATAAACAGACAAATGAAACTTTGAATTGACATTTACTTGTTATAGATGTTGTGTTCCTGTGAAAATCCCTAAAATGGCTGGTGCTTTATTCTCTATAAGTCGACAGGTCAGGTGCTAAAACCCTGTGGAGGCAGTGTTAGACTCTGCTCCACATTTGGGCCGGAGGTAATGGGGAAATTTGGGGAGCGGTAGGGTGACATGCACCAAAAGTCATGGCTCACATCCAACATCCCGCTGTGTCTTTGCCAGTGGGTGTAGTGGGGTTTCCTAAAAGAAGACTCTGAAAAAGCAAGGGACAGAGAAAGGGGTGAGAAAAAGAGAGTGAGAGAAGGAGGAAAGGAACCATGACTCAATGTTTAAGTGAAATTTGAGCATTAAAATAAACAGTATTTGGATTAGGAGTGTATGTTGTCGTGTCTAGACAAAAACAAAATACAAAATAGG